GCAGGACTGGTGCATCCCAATATTGCAGATCATTTTACCAGATTTAAGACTGTTTCTAGATCTGGCCAAATGATCTGCAAATTTGACCAGAATTATGAACGATAAGTTCCTCTATATATCAGATGGTGCAGACCCGCCAATATGATGCAGACCCGCTGATATGATTGCATATTGAATTATGCAATGATTATTATGTTCATAAACCAGGAGATTAAAATTTTGGCATCGGCTAGCCGGTCGGCTAAGCCGATTCCATCCCTAGTCGCCATGCCTTCTTTATCCCTTCTTTTGGCCAATCAGAACTCCTGCTGAAAAGTGTTCCTTATATATAGATATGTATGTATAGTAATTAATGCAGATTGCAAATTGGTCACTAGATCTTTATCCCTTTATGATCAATTCGAACATTATCTCTCGCTGCTTATAATCAATCAGAATGTCTGTCTCTTGCCGCCAAGGAAAACCTATAAGTACAAATTTAAATTTCCACTATGCCAGATTTAAACTCAGAAAATTTGATGACCAGTATTATATTATTGGATATTTTTTTAGACTTTAGTTAAATTTTTTAATATAAATACTTTTATAAATTTAATCCAATAATTAACTGGGTATTGAACATTGTAAATACTCAATAACCAAGTTCAAAACAAACCATTGGACGTATTGGACATGGCATCCCTGCTCATATAGGTTGAATGTAACAATAGCTTTCATTTTAGTTAAATGTGTAACCCTAATGACGATTATATGTTACGATTTGAAAAGCAGCAGCCAATCAGAGATCATTTTTATCTTAAAAACTAAACTTTTTGGCGAACAACGACATCGGGCTTAGTGACATAACTGAATGGTAAGAAGCGATTACTGTAGTTTAAATCAAGTTTACCTCTCCTTATCTGTGTTGTGAATAAATAATTGGATGAATCGTGTAAAGCACAAATCATAATAAATTAGCAATAGTTTGCATACTTGGATATATTATTTCTAATTGCTTGTATTAACCGTTAAAGAGGTATGCCGCAGGTTATCTGCGTGTCAGATACTTACAGGCTTCAGCCACATACAGCCCAAATCACCATTATAGTTCTATATATGCACATGCAATTTTTTTACGACAAATCCTTATTTACTACTATTCCACGTATAATAAAACAACAAAAGAAAAGATTTAATTTAGAAAATTCTACGCACAGTAAAAGGAACCATATTCCTGTTAAAAAACATTTTATTCGTATTGAATTTAAATCTGAATTTTGAGACTTGTCTCTATATAGAATAATATTAATCAACACTTACTTAATATTCTTAGTAATAGGTTGATGTGTAATTATGGAACCATAAGAACATACGTAATTTTGTCTAAGTTCAGTCGGAGTATGGTTGAACAAGCCAGCTAGACAACATAATGATATTTCTCACGCATATTATGGCATATTCCGAATATTAATTAGGACAATATCAGCGATCTATTAGTTTTGATTCTATAATTCCGGAATATAATAAGAAGCCATTACTATATTCCTTTGTTTAAGTTGCTGCTGGAAATTATTCAAGTAAATTATGAAGCACATGAATACAAGTATTTTCATGGATGTACTGTGTATGTACCAATTTAGTATATTGTCATTGTTCCTTTTTTGCATATAATGCTGGCCCAGGTTGTTATAAAGCGGCATAGTTTTGGCTAAGGATGCTTATGCATATTTCTGAAAAATACTGATACGGTAATGATCTCACAGGGCCGAGTCCATGTCATGCGCTTAGTTCAAATTTTAGTTTTTCCAGAAAGGCAATAATTGAATGGTATTATCGTACTGCTACAGTTTGTTCTCCATTTTGCCAAAAAAGTTGCCGCAGTAGGATTAGCAAGAAATTATGGTTTTTTTTTTTTTTTTCGTTTCTAATACATCAATTAATATGCAAATGGAAATTTTTTTTATTTATTTAAAGCAATATCTCGGTCCTTGAATCCTTGCAAGAAAATCTTCGAAACAAAATGTCATACTCATTTATGACAAAATCGGGAGAAATTCAATTCCCATTGAATGTTTCTTCCGAGATGGGAATCTCTAAATCTCTTAACGAAAATTCATTTTATAATGAATTATTCAGTAGGTCGCCATATCCTTTAACCCTTGAAATTAATGATTTAATTTCACCTCCAAATTCACGAAAAGCCATGAAGTACCAACAAAATCCGACTTTATCTCCCCCAAGGCCGCAAAATGCTTTCGTTTTATTTCGTAGAGATTTTGCTGCAAAATTAAAGCAAAAAGAAATGAAAATGAAGACCGGCGAAATCTCACGATTAGCAGCCGAAGAGTGGCATAAACAGCCACAGAACGTTCTTTGTTTTTTCGAGTTTCTCGAAAATTTGGCAAAGGAAAAACACAAGTTAATGTATCCTGATTATAAATTTTTACCTAAAAAAAGGAAAGAAAAATCAATAAAAATTATAAAAGTTGAACACGAAAAAGCTCAAAACAGTAATGCAACTGATAACTCTTCCGAAATGATATGTTTCAATGCCGAAGAAATTTTAAACGACATGAATTGTTTTTCTTATGACATTCCACGTTACCAGAATATTTCGAAAAATACGTTGCTTTCCGAAATTTCTGATCAAAGTCCTGATCAAGAAAACTTCGACATTTCGGATTTTATTGAGTTTGATCCGATTATTCCTAGATTTTAGCGTTTCTTTTAAAAAAATCGATAGTTAGTTTAAGCAATTTATTATTTTTATGCAAAAAGATATGTAATATGGTACAAGGATATGTGTATTGTGGTACAAAAAGACATACAACCGATATCTATTATGCAAAATAAGCATATATTAAGACAAAAAAAGTTATTTATCGTCAATTTAAGAAAATAAAACAATTATGAATGTCCAAAAAATGGGTGGTTAAAAGAATATGTTATTATCGTACCTTTAATTGACGATTCTCCAGTGAACTGAAGAATGTTCATAGTGAAACGTGACGCGGTTCTATATATAAATTACTATAGGCGCAAAAGTAGAAATTTTCTAGTGATTGTCCAAGGAAAACTTTTTTTCGTACTAAGTTAATCATCTTTGAGTCTCTA